AGCAAAAATAAAGTGACCTCCTATTTTGATATTCCAATTAATTGTGAAACCTCTCCCTTACCCTAATTAGCAAGAAGTCCTCTACCTCAAATTTTCCGAGAATCCTAAGAACAAATTCAATCTTAATGGGTTAAGTCTCTTTCAAATTAAGTGGTAGAAAAAGAAACGATTAGTGTTCTCTGTCCTTCCTTTTGTTAATTTCAAAGTGCCACACGCTATTGTGCTTAAGAAGAGGTGGCCCACTATTTACTGGTGCCACTCTTGGTCTGGCAGTGGTTTTTTGGAATGTAGAATGTAGTAGGAATCAAAGAGGAGGCTTCTCCTTCGGAGTACCATGCTCAGCCCTGTTCACCCTATGTTTGTGTGCACCTCCTTCCAGAGGTACAGCTCTTTGAATGTCATATGGACATCCTTGCCTAGGCTGCAGCAGTTTTCCTCAAAGTCATGCTCAGAAGAGGGGGCGCTAAGCTTGTGTTCTATAAGTTACATACCTTTATTTTATAGCCTTAGCTATTATTTCTAATTACATTCCTGCCCCATTGTGCCTGTGTCAGGTGGAGCTTTCATCCTTAGCCGCTTGCCTTATGAAAACCCATTTTCCCAGGAAAATCTAGGCCCTGTGTTGAGCCCAGTCATCAGTCTGCAGTCCCCTTTCCCTCATGGGGCCCTTCCTGCCAGCAGGTCTCTCATTGTGGGTTATTCCATGCATCAGAGGTTTTGGTAAGGTTCAGTTGCAAAAGAGCAGGCTTCGAAGCCCGCCTCCAGTTTTTACCAGCAGACTCCTTTTTTGGGACCAGCTCTTCCTTCTCCAGGATATAAGGAAGTGCAACCATTTCAAGGAGATAAAAAGGAAAAAAAATTCTCTGGCAATGTGTGTTCACTTGTCATTAATTTATACAACTAAAATGTTAGTGATTCTTCCAGCAAGAAGTATTCTAAGGTGACTTGTGCTGTCTTCATTTAGAGGGCAGGTAACTTTTAAAGGATCAATTTCTTTCTTAAAATTTTTAAAAATTTCACCTAACCAGGCACTCTCTTCCAAAACCAATGAGAAAAGGAGTATCTGTTCTTTAACGGGCACCTTTTATGTGCCAAACATTTTACACAAATTATCTAATATGATCCTTAAAATAATCCTGTGTGATAGGTATTATTATTGCTATTTTGACATTATTGAAGTTAAGAAAATGAAACTTAGAGAAGTTGAGGAACTTACTCAAAATTATACAACTAGGATTTGAATTAAAGTCTGCCTGACTCAGAATCCAGTGATCTTTTTCCATGTACAGCACAACTAATGGGAAGGTCATGCTTGAAAAAATGGATATTTGATAATACACATGTATGAATAATTGCATAGGATATTTCTAGGTGGGCCCAAATTAATTAATTTATTCATTCATTCTAGAATCACTGAGAACAAAGAGATAAGTAAGAGCAATGGCGGTGATAGGGGGTCTACTGTGAGCAAAGAGTAGGGCATACCAAGTCTGGGAGCCCTATGCCCAACCTCAGACAAATATTCTTCCAGTCCTATGGTGTTTTTCTGCTTTCACTTGAGAAGAGCCTAAAACCATACAACCATACGAGTCTTCAGTTGGCCATGTTCTTTTACCTAGCTCCTCCTTGCATTCTACTTTGCCTCTCCAGTTTGGGAGATTGCTTGTCATATAATAATTTTAATGAAATCAGATGGATTCTTGAATGGTCTATGAACACTTTCTGGCTACCTCTAATCTTT